AAACAAAAATCTCTAAAATATGTTCTGAATGATTTCATCACTCATCAACTACTACATGTGTGCCTGGTAGCTTAGTTGGTTAAAACGTCGCGTGTACTTCTAATCTCAATTCCGAGTGCGCTAGCCAGCGAGTTCGATTCTTGTTAGGGACATATTCTTTTTTTCTTATTTTGAATAGCTTAGAGTGCCCGGTTAACCGGGGACTCCAATCACCCGGTTAACCGGGCATTCCAACCACTCAATCAACCGGGCACTCCAACTGTCCGGTTAACCTGTAGGTTAACCTAGTTGATAACCTCCCTCGTACCAAATATCTTTCGTCTTTGGATCTAGCTTAACTGGCCGGTTAACTGGGCGGTTAACCTAGATGTCAACCTCCCGTTCCTACTCGATTATGATAACCTACTGTTCGGTTCACTACTAGGTTGGAGCTAGGTAACTAGGTAAAAAGGTACATTTAGTTAGATACATCAAGTGAATAACCGCCAGGTTCTGTCTGTGTTGGAGCTAGATTCACTCTATAGTGAATTTTTGCTTGAGTAGGCTGAAAATATTGGTTACTCTGCATATTCTATAAAAATGAATATATTACATATTGCAATTTGTCATGGCCTTCCACTGAAAAGAAGAAAGAAGCGACAAACACAGCAAAGAAAAAAATCACAAGAACAAATAAGTTAAAGAGAAGAGAGACTATCACTAAAAAAACCAAAAATATAATAAGTAATTTTTTAATGTAATACACAATAACAACGATTTGGCAAAAAGGAAAACAGAAGGAAGAGAATTTACAGATTTAAAAACTTATATAGAGCATCATATCGTCGTCAAGAAAAAAAAAAGTTCATTTAGAGTTCTGGAAAAGTAATTTTTTGTATTCAAGCTAACTCGATAACCCAATAGATTCAGAGATGTCAGAATATCAGTACGCAGTGTATTCTCAAAAAGACACTATTTCCTGGGCTTGCTGGGCTTGGTGTATTCTCATTGACAATACATAATATAGTGGCGAGGTCGGGGGGTGGGGGAGGTGCAGCATGAGAGTGAGCCACTATGCAACATTTGCGTATTGTCAATGATAATACACTAAGTCCAGCACAATTTATAGAAATTTATATATTTGCGTATTCTGGTATATTCTCGTGTATTCTCACTGAGAATACACTTGCTGGGCTTGGTGTATTCTGAGTGGGAATGCACCAAGCCCAGCCGGTTTGAAGAAAAGTCTCTTTTTGAGAATACACTGCGTAGTGATATTCTGAAACCTCTCAACAGATTTTCTATTTTTTGCGAGGAGTATTATTAAATAAGTTTAGGAAAATGTTTTGAACAAAATGGTGCAAAAAATTTCTAGGGGAAAATAATATTAGTTTCGAGATTTTTCTTAAATTTTTCACGGCATCTTTCGTCAAAAATAGAAAATCTACTGGATTATCAAGTGTGCTGAATACAAAAAGCACTTTTTTCACAACTCTAAATGAATTTGAGTTTTTTGTCGGTGAAATGGCTTAAACTGTGTGACTGTTATGTTTATCATAGACGGTTATATCCTGATTTTAAATAGTGTGTAGTCAGAAAGAGTTTATATTGAGTGGTGCTATTATATTTACCGTCCTATCATCTTTGTCCACCGCCAACTATCGTTGACACACTGCAAAAAGAAGCGTGAAAAAATTAAGTGTGTAACGTTCACCTAGCATCAACAACTGTACTTTCAGTACGGTCAGCCTAGGTGTGTTATGATTTTATATTATTTTCCATTTTCTCACGAAGTACTTCATCAGATGATAGAATAATTTTGGAATCGTCATTATCGCCTTGAATACTGATCTTTCTTCTCATTTTCTCATCATCCTCACTCTATTTCCTTTTTTAACCTGTCACATTCTATCCATAATACATTGTTCATTTCCTTAGCAGTCATCCTCCATATCTTTCTCATTAATCATTTCTTACTCAGTCAGCTCTTCCGCCTTCTGTCTCTCTCTCTATCTCTCTTTCTATTCATTCTGTCATTCACCCTCTCTTTGTTCATTGAACTATATATACTCATTATACAGTACATAGTCTGTTGCAGTAATGAGTTTATTCTTGTAATCGATTTGTACCGTCAATATTAATAACTATTATTACGCTTGTTTTTTATTTTGTAATTTAAAACTTTAATAATAAAATAACGTATATAACAAATTTCTCAAGCTCGGGCGCTTGTTAAAGTGACTTCTTGTTCTGTGCTCGTGCTGAGATAAATTAAAAAATGGCACTTAATTGCATATTTTTATTTATTTTGATGTGTGACGCAGGTGTGCCGAGTACAACTAAAGTACAGTTCGATATACCACCCAGAAAACAGTGGGTAAATGGACATGGGTATTGTGGTGAAACATCAATACAGGAAATTGGTTAGTTTGTTGTTTAATCATATAAAAGTGACTAAATATTACCTTTCTTTCACAGTGATTTGGTTTGAGAGTGTAGAACGATCTATGACATTTCTTTCACCATTATCCCTGTCAATTTTTGAAAAGAACACACTCCGTCACAAAAACAACGTGACATTTTCACATTTAGCCGAAATAAATAAAATTTTTTGAAGTTGTAAAGTAAAACTACTTTAACCCTTTCTTGCTTTTGGCTAAAGCTGACGGTTCTGAAGGACAATAGAGATGTGCAGGATGACCCTACCCTACACAGTGGTCATTTTTTGCTGGAGCAGGCGGACTTTAGCTTTATGAGTGAACTAAAATTTCATGAACCATTTTTTTATAGGTTTGGGGGGTGCGATAGGGTGCGAACTGTATACGGTAGGTTAAGGGTACGAAACAGTTTTATAGGGTACGGTAGGGCACAGGTTGAAATATTTGCCATAGCCTATGAGATAAAGAACGCTTAGTATTGCGAGACATTCGCTAGTTTAAGTGAACTAAATTTTTATAAAATAGTCCCTATAGAGGCCATAGGGTAAGAAAGGATTAACTTGTTTTTCTTCCAATGTCATTCAAAACTTCAAAATCGTAGATTGTTCATTTGTGCATATTTTTAAAAATGTCGTTTTTGTTTGTTATTTCAAGTGTTCAAAATTTCAATCTCGAGACGCAAGAAAGAGTTTCACAAAAAACCTTTACGGTAATAATTGTTGAGTAGACTACCATTTTATATCGGACAGTATTTTTTACATGATTACGGATATTTCATGTACATTTGTAGCACTTTACTATGGTTCATGGATATCACAAAATATCATACGTCAAATAAATGGTGGTGAATTACTGCTTGGTATTGGTAGTGAAAAGCGAACATTAAGTACATTATTATTGAATTATATTGAATGGAATAATAACAAAACAAAACAATCTCAATATAAACAATATTGTCTATGGTTAAAACAAAATTTAATTAAAGGATATCCGTGTATAATTACTGTTTATTTAGATGGTGAAAATGATAAGGATTATGATCATATTATTCCAGTAATTGGAATTGATTATCAGATTAAAAATGTGTACAATAAGAATGATGTTCTATATTTCCATAATTTATATCAAAATCAAATAATTAAAAGTCGTATAAATACTATGATGAGTACGAGAAAATTATGTAAAAAACGTACATATGATGGAGGATGTATACCTAGAGATATAACATATGGTTTAGCAATCACAGGTATAACAGATAAAAATCATTTAACATTACCAATTCGATTATATGTTAATTCATGGGATGAACCAAACATATCTCTAGGTGCTAGACCAAAAATATTACACGGCACAATTGTCATATCGAATCTTATACCAAATCGAAAATATGTTCTATTACGGTATGACACGTACAAGACTGTTCCAACATCGGGAAAAGAAAGTAAATTTTTAAAATCGAAATATGATTATAGATATGAATTTCAGGCAATTGGTAATACGTGGACATTTAATGATTCAAATGGTATTCATTCAAATGGTTCTACATACTATCGTTGTGTTAAATTGGTTTGATATTAACTTGTTTTTTCCCTCTAGCAGAACCAGCGTTTGTCTAAGTCTAATATGTATACTACTATCGGTGACAAAATATAAGGCCAGTGGTTATTTTTTGAAATAACTCAAAAGAAATAAAAGACAGAGACGTGCGGTCTTAATCATTCGCTAGCCAGGACTTGAAGCGATGTTTTCATAAGCAAAAACAAATTTGGAAAAAATTTCAGAAAAAGAGATCTTTGGAAAATCAGTCTAGATCTCTGACAAGTAACATAAAAATAGGTCGCTTTTTTTCATACACAGATAGTCCAAAGTGTCCTCTACAAAACTGGATCCAGAGAAAAGTTTCATTTTGCTTGGTTCAGATGGGTACAGCATTTTCCCATAGACACTCAAAATTCTATTTTTAGGTTTTGGACAATTAGTAATGCGTGAAAACATAGGTTATCGACTATGCTGAATCTCGTGGCAATGTTTGTTTTCAAAGCAAAATGAAAGAACCGAGTGAGAACCTATACTAGTGGAATAACCCAATTTTTATAATAACCTAAATAATCGAACTTTTTACTTTTTGATGGGGTGAGGGTGAAGGCTGAAAAACTCTTTTCAGCAGGCATTTGTGACCGAAGGCTACGACTCGTGGAAAAAGGGCACTGAGCGCTTTTCTATACATGAGAAAACAAAAGATCACATCGCCTGTCTCTTGTATTGCTGATCAACAACGCAAACCACCGGAGAAATATCGAATTTCTCAGTGGAAATTCAATTTCACTGAGAAATTCGATATTTCAGCTTCCAGTAACCTTTGACGATGTTTGTGAAACTCTGACTCATACTCTGTTGTATTTAAATGATAATAAGCTGAAGTACTTCCCGTCAAGTTAGGGCTCTAGACTCTCTTTTCTGGGATATTTTACCTAGTTTATTCCTATAGTTAATGTAGGAATTGTTCTGTGAAGAATAGATGAAAAATACATCCATGATTTATATTCCGTCGTTTTTTTATATGTATATAATATTAACAATTATAGCAAGTACTTCTATATCATTCGAAACGGCTGATATAGATAGTATAAGTATTACGTCATACTAGTCCCTGAAAAAATGTCCTATCTGAAATGTACCCAGATAAATGTCAGAGGTAAAATGTCTCGCGGTAAAAATGTTTCTATGCGAAAGGTCGTGGGAAAAATGTCCTCTGTCGGAAAAGTCCCGGGGAAAATCTCCTTCCGGTGCACTTGTACTTTTTCCCGATAGTGGACGAACCAGTAGTTAATTCTGTACAAACTACGAGTAGCACTATCACTGATTAGAACACAACGTATAGAGATCAGAATAAGTTTTTCTGCTAGCGCAATATCAAAACATGCATTACAACAATGTGATCGAGCGTCGTGTACGTTTCAGCAGATCGTATTTCATCTTTTTCTCACTAATATGATTTGTGAAAAACAAATATGACGAAAAGATGCAGCGTGAAAAGCTCTACAATCTGTACAGGCGATAAACAGATAAAAGAAAAATAAGAAATTTTTCGTTCGTGTTATATTTTCGCAACGTCGAAATTTGATCGCTCAAAATTGTCTCCATTTTGAAAGCAAAACATACAGCTATAAAAAAAAGCGGTCTTATGTAGATTGTAGAGTTTTTCACGCTGCACCTTGTGATGCATCGCGTGTACCTAGTAAAAAAGAAATGATGACAACAACAAAGCAAGTCTGAAATTTTGCGCATATTCCTAAATATGACTGGGCATTATAGCTGTATAATTAGTACTTACGAGGGAAGGCCTCCCACTGGTAAATCGCTTTTGACGTAAAACTTAGTGAACTATTGGTAACGGAGCATGCTGATTCCGAATATGACGATGGTTTTTGCCAATGCGTCTTTGGAGCTCCCGGTTTTTGAAAAACTGGGTTTTCGCAATGAAAACGTTTTTGATCAAAAATTTTTTTTCATCCGTACAAATGAAAGCGCATGCTCATGCAAAACTGTTTTTTAAGGTTTTGAACAGTTTTTAAAGGGTAAAAACTTAATACTATAGCCGAAAAACAGCTTTTTATTCCGCTATGCTTTAATAAATAAAACATGTGAAAAATAGGTAATCGAATGCGCTGATTTCGAAGATTACATTGATCTTTTTTTATCAGATTCTACAACCATCGGCTTTTTAAGCAACAGTTTTCGATGACATCGAAAGGCGTTTATGATAGTGTACGTTAAATGAAAGAACGAATCATCGAGCCTTTTGAAAAGATAATTTCAACTATTTTCATGCGTTTTAAGCTAGCATGTAAACAACCAAGTGCAATATTTAGAAAGAAAAGAAGATGTGCATAAGAATAATTACGATATACCTTACATTCTTACAACAAATGTCTAGCGCACACTATCAGAAACGCC